CAGATGCCTCTGGAAACGCTATAAACATAAAGAAACAATGTTACGTATAGAACAGAGTTAAAAAAAAAAAGAACAGAGTTCAGTTCTTTTGCTCATAGGGACCCTATGAGTCATAATTGATTTGACGACACTTATCCACTGCTAAGTTAGACTAGTGTTATATTTTGGAGTTACATTCTTCTACTTTGTACATCACTCTTTGTTGATTTGCGGTACTGAGGTAATCTGGGTTTGCTGGGATGCTGAACCTTGTGTCATTGGGGTGTCAAATGCCATAATGGTTTTCCAGTGTGGACAGTGTTTGGTGGAGCTCCCAGTTGTAAAACAGGTTTGAAAGCAGGAGTGGCATCCACTTCCTAAACCACATGCCCGTGGAAATTCTATGACATTGGAGAGACAACAATAGCTATAGAAAGGTCTTTTGTTCATAGAGTTGCTAGGAGTAATGCTCGACTTGACAGCAAGCAACAAGAAGTTATACATACTTTGTTGTTGTCAGACTGTACAGTTAGAACCAATCTATAGCTGAGCCTCTGGCAGGTTTTCAGAAGCAGTTAATCACACAGGAAGAGACTGACCATCCTCCTATGGAGCAACAGGTGGCCTCGAACCCAGTGCCTTCAGGATTGCAGTGCAGCTTCTTGCCACTAGGCCACCAGAGCCCTAGCATATATATATACTTTATATGACAAAATAAAACTATCATGTTGCTATGTTGTTCATTTGAGCACACTGACATACACAGGGCAGGACCACCTACCAGGTTCAGTGTTTGTAAGAGCAAAGGGCCATGTCTATCTCTCTGGTGACAAGCCAGTGGACTTAGACTGTCAACCAACCTTTTGGGCTGCTGCTAGAGTCTTAGCCACCGTGCCACCTGGGCATCTTAGATAGACTTTACACAATTTCATAAAAAGGCCAATGTGGGAAAAAGAAAAATTCATTTTGCACGCCACAGCTGTTAAGGAACTGTAAAAAGGCTTTGGGCTACCAGTCTGGGGCTATTTCTAGGCTGGGAAGATGAGTGGGTTTTGTGGGTCTCCCGAATAAAACAAGCTTGGAAGCAGGAGTGGCATCCGCTTCCAAAAAAGCTTGCCTCTGGAAACTCTATAAACTTGGAAAAAAGATGAAAGTTTTGTGTTCAAGACTTTCGTTCATAGGGTCGCTATGGGTTGTCTATGCCTCTATGGCACTTCACAAGCACAACTACATGGTACACACACACACACACACACACACAAATAATAAATTTTCTTTTAAAAAAAAGGGGGGTGCAAGCTCTGATGGCCTAGTGGCAAGAAGCTGCACTGCAATCCTAGAGGTACGTGGTTCGAATCCACCAGATGTTCTGCTGAAGGCGGGCAATCTCCTCCTGTACCAGTCAGATCCGATTTGACGGCACACACAAAAAAAATTAAAAAAAATAGAGGGGGGGAAAACCACAAAAAAATGATGGGGATTTTCTCATCATTAATATTAATCCATCCCATAACGTCTTCATCTGTCTTTTAAGAGAAGCAACCCCCAAAATGAAATGAAATAGGATACTGTGCACTAAGGGCTGGGTATGCAGCCTAAGTAGTAAAAGGGTTAAGTGCTCAGCTGATAATCAAAAGTCTGGCGGTTCAGATCTGCCCAGTAGCTCCCAAGGACAAAGATCTGGAGATGTACTCCCATATAAATCCCAGCCAAGAAAATGCTCTAGGCCAGTTGCACCGTAATGAATGGGAACTTCCCGAGCTGAAACTCATTTGACGGAAATGAACGAATCAAAGAGTGACCTGTACCACAGTCAATACCCAATCAATGTTATTATTGTTGTTATTGGTGTTGACGGCCTTCCAGTGGACCAGAACTCATAGTGACCCTATAAACAAAAGACCTGAAGCCCCTCTACAGCTATCAACAATTATCAAAGTTCAAAGAGTTTCTGGAGGCATGTTACTTAGGAAGTGGATGTCACTTCTACTTGTGGGAAGGTCTCAGCCTCAGGTCACAACAGAGTGACAACTGACTGACCCAGTGTACGTGTCTCCACTGTGTCTCCTAAAACAACAGTTGACGTCACCTAGCACTGGCCATGCACCTAATACGTCACTCCTCTCGCCCAGCTCTATTTATCAATGAGTTTTATATAGTAGAGATCAGACTTCTTCTGTAAAGGGGCAGAGGGTAAACATTCGAGGCTTTGAGGACAATCCCCTACTTCACTCAGTAAATCAGCAAGTGAGTGGGAGTCCAAGGGTTCCAATAAAACTTTATTTACAAAATCTGGCAGTGGCCTGTAAGCTTCCACTCCTGGCGTAGAGGAATGAAGTTCTATTGGTGTTCAAAAACATTAGCTATTCTATTTATATATGTTGCAAGGAGGGACTGGTCCTTAGAGAGGGACATCATGTTTGGGAGAGTGGAGGGATGGCACAGGAGAGGAAGACCCTCGATGAGATGGATCAATTCTGTGAGTGGAGGGGTGGGAATGAGTGTGTCTGAGATGGCACAGTTGGTACAGGATAGAACAGCGTTTAGGGCTCTTATACATAGATAGGGTTGCTAGGAGTCTAACAACAACAACAACAACATTCTATTTATGGGTTCAACTAAACTCAAACTCACAGCCATAGTTGATTCCAATTCAAAGTTCCAGATTTCAGAGGCTGTAAATCATAAAGAAATTAGCCACATTTCTCCCTTGGGAGCCCCTGGTAGATTTGAACCATAGGAGCCTGTGGCCTGTGGGATTGAAGCACAATTTGCTATGGACTGGGCATAAAAGCCCCTCCTAGTCCTGGGTTAGATACAAATTTAGTCCTAGTGATTGGGAGTGTGTCCTCTGCAGAAAGGCAAATTCCATTCCTAACGCCAATTATCTATGACCTTGACCTTCTTTTGATTTAGTCTCTGAAAGATATTATCAGTAAAGTTCAACTGAGGTCACACTGGAGCCGGAATGCGTCACAATACAATAAATTG